TTCCATGTTTCCCAAGTTATCCAGGTGTTAGGGTGGGAATCTTCCATGTTTCCCAGGTATTAGGATGGGAATCTTCCACATTCCCAAGTTATCCAGGTATTAGGGTGGGAATTTTCCCATTCCCCCATTATCCAGGTGTTAGGGTGGGAATCTTCCAGGTTTCCCAGGTGTTAGGGTGGGAATCTTCCAGGTTTCCCAGGTATTGGGGTGGGAATCTTCCCCATTCCCAAGTTTCCAGCAAAAAGGGATTGCCAGCCTTTAGTGAGCTGGGATTAAATTTAACAACCCTTCTCCTCCAGGGTTTTTGGCAATCCAGGGAATTCTCACTCCAGGTAGATGGTCCACCAGTGGCTTCCAGGGTTGGTTTTCCAGGGTGGGAACATCTGCATCCCTTCCTGATGTGGAATTCCTTAGGGATATCCAGGGGGTTTTCTGTTACCTTTTTATCCACGTGGATTTTATGCTTTTATTCCAAAGGCAATCCCGGACTTCCGTGTCTCCATATAGAAAGGGTGGATTGTGCTGCTCACATTCTTCCCAAGCACTGGCTTTTCCAGGAGTTCAGTGGGAATTTTGCTTTAAAATATTAAATGTTTCCAACCAGTCCAGCACCTGGAATCACAGGCTGTGACCTCGGCTCCATGTCATGGAATGAACACCAAAATTCCAATCCTGTCTGATGGAATTCTGCACAGTGCTTTAATTGGGATGTGCTGTGAGACAATAAACCTGCCCCAGTGCCGGGAATTTTTTTTTCCTCCCTCCTGGTGTCTTGTAAAACTTGGAATTTCATTTTTACCCGGATGTTTGTGAGCGCTGTGTCCTTTTTATCCATCAAAATAAACGCAGAGCCAGTCGGGTTTATGGGAACGACGTTGGCACAGGAGGAATTACACTTCAAATAAAGGAGGAGAGAACTGTGCTTATTCCTGGATCAGGAAAAAAGAAGGATTTCCATGGAGCTGCTCTTGGGCTGAGCAGTTTGTGTCGTGGAATGAGGCTGGGAGGGGATGAATCCTTAGAAATTAATGCAGGGAGGGGATGCTCCTGGGAGAACAACTCTTCCATTTGGGAAATTTGAACCCAAGGATTTTTTATTCCCATTGTCTTCCCCACTCTCTCCATCCTTTATTTGGTTTCCCCCCACAAAGAGCCAGGCAGGATTTCGGATCGGGATCAGCGCTCGCTGCAGCTCAGCTCCAGCAAAATGGATCCGTGACCCGATTTAAACTCGTGGGAGCTGCAGAACGTAAATATTTGATGGAGCTGCAGCTTCCCTTGGGAAATCTGCTTCCGTTTTTCCAGCTGGATCCTGCCAGGTTGTTCCTGAAATAGCGTGGAGATGTTTTGGAGTTCTCCTTCCTCTTGGAGGTTGCTCCAGCTTCGGGCGTTGGCTCAGCCTGGGGCTGGATTTGTGCAGAATCCCCCAAAGCAAAGCTGGAATTTTGTGTCAGAATTCCTGGGAAGGATGGGATTTCAGTCCCTCACACCAGGATTGCTCCTTGTTCGGGCAGGGATGATGCTCAGTGCCTCTCCTGAGGTGCTGGGTGAAGTTGGGCGAGGTTGGGAGCTTTTTAAATGGTTAAATATGGATTTTTTGGGGTTTTTTTGGCTGCTCTGGAAAGAAAACTTCAGTGTCTTTTGAGTTCCTGAAAAGAGCTTTTTCCATGGATTGAGGCAATGTCCCACACGTGAATTTCTTCCCTGGTTTTATTCTTGTCAGAAGAAATAGTTGCTGTTGGTTCAGAAGGATTCCTGCAGAATTCAGGGGAAATCCCACGTGTTTGTCGGGATTTTTGGGCTGTGGGATGTTGGCACAACGGGGAAAAGGAGGATTTATGGCAAATTCTCAATATAAAAAGGGTGGCACAACAGGGAAAAGGAGAATTTATGGCAAATTCTCAATATAAAAAGGGTGGCACAACGGGGAAAAGGAGGATTTATGGCAAATTCTCAATCCAAAATGGTGACACACAGCGAAAAGGAAAATTTATTGCAAATTCTCAATTAAAAAATGGTGGCACAACAGGGAAAAGGAGAATTTATGGCAAATTCTCAATAGAAAAGGTGGCACAACAGAGAAAATGAG